TATTTTCGTAGTACATTTGTCTTCATCACAAGGCTATTTTTACAGGTAGTCATTGTTGTGATATTTTATCTATGTAAATTAAAATAAAGGAAGAAGGTATATTTTCGCTTTTTAAGGAAGATAATTTAATCTCTATAGTCGTCGAATTGTTTAAGAATTTTTCAAATCGGAGAATTTGTAATAAATAGTGACTCTCGAAAATCTGGGAATGACTACTGCATTGTACTCCAAGGTGGGGTTTGCGAGAAAAAAATGTATCGAATATACAGAAATAGGTCATATCAGAACACTTTTTGAATTTTGACACAACCTAGTGTCAGTGTACCGTGGCTAGTGTATCGTGAAATTATAATTTTCAGAAATAAGCAAGAATTTTAATGGACAAAAATTAATATATTTTTCATGGTACATATTGAATATACAACTTCCTTTTGTTCAGAAACTAACAATGAAATTTGATATGAAATAATTCTTCCCTTGACACTATTGCACCTAGATGTACCGTATATTCAGAGATTTATTGTGACATTTTTGTATACCCTCCACCTTTCTATGGAGGGTATATTAACTTTAATAGTCCGTTTGTAACTCCTCGAAATATTCATAATATTGATACAAAGTATTTATATTCTGGATCAGCGTAAAATTCTAAGACGATCTAGCTATGTCCATCTGTCTGTCTGTCTGTTGTTATCACGTTATCTTACGAACGAATTGAGATAGAAGGCTAAAATTTCGCATAAATGCATAGTTTATCAGTAGGCAGGTTAAGTTCGTAAATGGGCCATGTAGGTCCACGTCTTCATATAGCCCCCATATAACTGTACCTCCCAATATTCGGTATTTTGATGATTTTAGCGACATTATTAACCGGAATTTTTTCAAAATTGGTATTTGAAGTTCGTAATGAACACTTCAGCCTATGATAAAAAAATGTTTGTGCAGGTCCACGTCTCCGTATAGCTCCCATATAACGGTACCTCCCGATATTCGGTATTTTCATGATTTCAGCAACATCATTCACCGGAATTGTTTCAAATTTCGTACTGGAAGATCCTAATGGGTACTACAACTTATGACAAAAAATTTTGTATGCAGGTCCAAATCTTCGTATAACCCCCATATAACGGTACCTCCCGATATTCGGCATTTTCATGATTTTAACGACATTATTTACCGGAATTATTCCAAATTCCATATTTAAAGTTCGTAATGTTTACTACAGCCTATGACAAAAATTTTTGTATGCAGGTCCGCGTCTTCGTATAGCCCCCATATGACGGTTTTCATTTAATTTTTTTTTTGTTTTTTTTTTTTTTTTTTGAAATTCTTCAATTTTCTTTGAAATAGTGGAGGGTATGTAAAAGGGTAAAAAGGGCCAAAGAAAAATGTATCAGAAAAATTAGGAAATCTTTTTGAGTTTTTTGGCAACATTGATGCATATATTTTTATACCCTCAGTCATATGATATATACCCTATCATTGGATACGTCCAAAACGTGCCTCTTCGAAATGACGGTTTTATACCCTAGGTCTCTTTGGACCAGGACATTTCGACTCTATCAGGATATTTCGAGTCTATCAGGACATTTCGAGTCTATCTGGCGATGTCCATCCGTATGTCTGTCTGGCTGATGCGCACAATAACTCTCGAAGGGAGTATCCGATTTGATCCAAACTTGGTACATCATAATATTATTGTCAAACTTAGATGGAGTTCTGTATTAGATCAATTTTTCTGTATAGAAAAACTTGCAAAACCACCTACATATCCATATCCCAGATACCAACAGACAGCTCAATGTCAAAAATTCGTGATTCCAGATATATCCCCCCTGAACAATTATAGTGTAATCATTTCCCAACTAATTCTATAACCTAACCACAGACATAAACGGTAGAATCCATACCAAATTTAAGGATTTCAGTTGTATTCCATCACTCAATATCAATATTTGGCATTTTCGTACAATCTCCATATCTCACCTTTAGATACCAAAATTGAATTTAATATTAAATTTGAGGATACTAGCTCTGTTATTCTCCCCATTGCCAAATTAAGTACATCTTCAAGTTCAGCTCCTTCTTTCTACTACAGAAACTAATAGTGACGTCCATATAAAATGTCACGATTCCAACTATATCTCTTCACCTAATACCACCTTTATATCTCAATTCCAGATCCAATAACAAATTTGTGGATACCAGTCCTATACCTACACTCAATAACAAAATATGGTACCAATTGGTATTTTTCTTACAATTGTAGTTCACATTTTCCAAAACCATCTCCATATCTCAATTGCAGATACAAACGGAAACCTCAATCTCAAATTTGAGGATTTCTGCTCTATTCCTTCATCCAATACCAAATGAACTACTATTTAGTTATTTGTGGACAACTCAATTCCCCAATTACAGAACCTCAATGAACCTCGATTCCAGATACCGGCAGAGACGTAAATCCCAAACTTGGGGATTCCAGCCCTATCCATTCACCCATTTCCAAATTTAGCACCATCCAGACTACATATGAACAGCGATCTTAATACCAAATGTCAGATTTCAAGCACTATCCAAAATTTCAAAATTCCAGCCTCATTCGTTCATCCTAAACCAAACTGTTCCAAATTTAGTAACATTTAGCCCATTTCGTATATATGTCCAAAACATATTTCCTTCATATATTAAACTTACTTTTCAATATTAATTCTTATGTCAAGTCTTAAGCCCTATCCCTTCACATAATACCAAATGGTACCATTTGAGAAGTTTAGTACCATTTTAGTACTTTTGGTAAACTTAAATTTCGAATTTCCAAAAACGCTATCTTGCTCTCCATCGATGTCTCTTATTTCAAATATCTAGCTCATACCATTTGCCCAATCCAAATTATTACATTTTTAGTACATTTTAGTACTTTTCGTAACCTTTTAGTACGAAATTCATGATATCTCGAAACTCGAGCTGATATCGAAAGAAATTAGAACGAGGGTTCCGAAGAACTTTGAAAATCACCAAATCTTGAAAATTCAGAAATGGCTTATCAATGTATGTAAATATGTACCATAATGGCATCGTTGGTTTCAAATCCATTATTTAAGTTGACACTAACATCTGTTTACGACAATAAATCATATGTAGATTTTCACTTTCCCTGGAATTCGGCTACACGAATTTTTGCTACCAGTTCCCCATTGACAATATTGTTTTTATACCCTCCACCATACATAGTATGGTGGGTATATTAAGTTCGTCATTCCGTTTGTAACTCATCGAAATAATCATTTTAGACCCAACAAAGTATATACATTCTTGATCAGCGTAAAATTCTAAGACAATTTAACCCTGTCCGTCCGTCTGTTCGTCCGTCCGTTTGTTTGTCTGTTGTAATCACGCTACAGTCTAAACGAATTAAGATAGGAAGTTAAAATTTTGCACAGATCTCTCTTTTGTCTGCAGGCAGGTTAAGATCGATGATGGGCTATATCGGTCCAGGATATCGTATAGCCCCCATATAACGGTACCCCCGATATTCGGTATTTTGATGATTATAGCCACATTTTCTAATGGAATAGTCTGAAAATCTACACAAGGAGTTACTTGTGATTACTTCATCCCTTGAAAGAGAATTATCTATTTAGGTCACCATATCGAATAGCCCCCATACAACGGTACCCCCCGATATTCGGTATTTTGATGATTTTACCCACATTTTTCAACGGAATTGTCTGATAATCCACACAAGGAGTTCTTTGTGAGTTCTTTACTCCCTGAAAGAGAGTTGTCTATATAGGTCCACAGTATCGAATATCGCCCCATATAACGGTACCCTCTGATATTCGGTATTTTGATGATTTTAGCTATATATTCCAATGGAATTATCTGAAAATCCACACAAGGAGTTCCTTGTGAGTACTTTACCCCAGACATAGATTTGTTTATATAGGTCCACAATATCGAATATCCCCCCATATAACGGCACCTTCCGATATTAGGTATTTTAAAGATTTTAAATGAATTTTCAATGGATTTTATTTTTTTGAAAATTTTCTAATTCGTTCCAAATGGTGGAGGGTATTCAAAGTTCGGTTCGGCCGAATTTACTGCTTTTTTATTTGTTGGTGCACAAATTATCCATATGGTCGTACGAGTTTGGTTCACATGACATGCAAACTTACATTAATTAGAGTAAATTCATTCGAAACGACATCAGTAGTAGCAGCCAGCCTACAACTACAATTCAAAAAAAAAAAAAAGAAACCTGGACCAGCTGTTGCTTGTTCGATTTGCGAAATCCGTCTGTAAATTCGGACTGTGACAATCAAAATGTGAAATTGTGGCAGTTTTTATGTTTCATTTGTCAGAAAATTGTTTTTTGACCCTGGTTCCCCATTCCGGCAACAACCAGGCAAACCAACAAAAATGCTCAAATTAAGGATGGCTACTCGAATGCGGCGGATGGCATTCGGGGCATACTTATATGACAATTTGTTGTTAATTTGCATGTTGTTGTCCGCGTTGTCTTCATCGTCGTCGTCATCTGGACCGGATCTTAGACCAGCTACAACAGTTGGTCGCAAATGATCAGCAATTAGTGACAAGACGGAAAATGTTGTTTTCTTTCTCTCTCGCTCTTTGTTTAAAAAAAAATATGCCTTATTTGTTGTTGTACAATTTTTTCTATATTTAATTTATTTTAAATTGTTGCAAAATGGAAATTTCTCTTTTTTTCGTAATTGAAATGTTTGCACGAAGTTAACAGAGAGTGCGCTCCTCCGCGGATGCTATAATTTTTTTTTTGCAATTAATTGTTGAAAATTGAGAGGAAAATGTACGTAGTTTTTCATGTATTTCCTTTTGTTGATGCTGTTAATTTTCCTGTGCTGTAATTGGTCGTATAGTTTATAGGAAATCATTTTTTTGTTTTCTTGTTTTTTTTTTTTTTAATGAATTAAAAAAATTAAATGCTGCTCTCTTTTGTTGTGTTGTAATTGCAGGAAAACAAAACAGAAATCAATCAAGTGTTGGAAAAATTTTTCCCGGTCAGTGAAAATTTTCTTAGCTTTGGTTAATATGCAACAGAGGCCAGAGATTTAAGGAAAAGGTAAGTAACGATTTTTTTTGTTATTTTTATACCCTCAGTTATATCGCCAAAACATGCTTCATCGAAAAAACGGGGTTAGACCGTATGTCTCTTTGCACCAAATCTGTTTCAGAACATTTAGAATCAATCTAACGATGTCAGTTCGTTTGCTAGCTGGTGCGCACGAAAGCTCTCGAATAAAGTATCCAGATTAGTCCAATCTTGATACATCGTAATATTATTATCAAAATTAGAACGAGTTCCGGGAATGGGCAATATCGGCCCACAAAGGGTGAAAATTTTGAATATCCATGAAACTCATAAAACGCAAAATTAATTTCCGATTCCATTCAGACTTGATACATCTCAATATTTCCATCAATACAAGATCTGTTACAAATATGGTAGAAATCGGACCACTTCTTCTGGTATCCCAAGGAGTGGACAGATACTGAATAGATATTCGATCTCGATCTAAATTTGATAAGAATATTGCGATGTACAAAGTTTGAAACGGAAGCCCCCTTTCCAGGGCTATCGTGCGCCCAGATATACAGACAAACGGGCGGATATGACTAGATGAATGTCCTATGGCGGTTTCCCTTTTGGATCGATGCTAGCTCAGTTGAAAATATTAACAATATCGGTCCACTCCATCAAGTACCTCCATCACAAAGGGTGAAAATTTTGAATAATTTTAACTCTTATAAAATGTGATATAAGTGTGTCCGCTTCTCTTCAAATTACACACATTGCAATATTTTTAGTAACCCAAGGTCTGGTGTGAAAATGAAATATATCGGTCGACTTCTTCAAGTACCTCCCACACAAAGGGTCGAAATATTGAGTATTCATGAAGCTCATAAAACGCAAAATTTACCTCCGATTCTATTCAGACTTGGTAAATCTCAATATTTCCATCAAGACAAGATCTGTAATAAAGTTAATAGAGATCGGACAATTTCTTCTGATACGTCCTCCACATAGGGTTCAAGATTTTTGGAAAACAAAACTCTCAAAGAAAGCTTAGGGTAAAGCCATTGAAATTCTAAAAAGTGCAAGAACTTACACCGCAACAGAAAGAAAATAGACGCAAAAGAGCTAAAGAGTTGCTTCGCTTGACCGAAAGTGGTGAACTGCCGAATTTGGTGTTTCTCCGATGAGAAAACATTCGTTGTCCAGCAGTTTGTAAACAAACAAAATGATCGTGTTTACTTTCCAAAGAGGTCAGCTGAAATGTGCATCTTCGGTTGGCCACCAGAACTCAAGCGCCGGCCATGGTGATGGTGTTGGCCGCCATAACAGCCGATGATCGCTCTCCGCTCGTATTAATCGACAGTGGCATCGGAATAAATGCCGAGTATTATCTCGAAAATATTCTGGAGGGCAAACACTCAAACATGTTGGCCACAGACCTTGTACATTCCAACAGGACTCAGCACCATCGCACTCAGCACGCGCCACCCAAGAATGGTTACAAACTGAAGTTCCTCGCTTCATCTTCAGCGCACAATGGCCACTAAAATCTCCGAATAGCAATCCGTTGGACTATTGTGTCTGAAGTATTTTGTAAAGCAAGGTTGACACTAAAAAATATCGATCACCTCAAGCAAGCGCTTCGCCGGGAATGGGCCAAAATACCGCGGAGTACCATTCGGGCTGCATGTGGCGGCCATAATTCATGTCAAAGGTGACCAATTCGAACAAATCTAAACTTATTCTAAAATATGATGCTATTTCCGATATTTTTCGCTTTCATTCAATAAAATTTAAAAAAATTGTAAAAATTATGGAGTTTGACTTTGTTGCAGGTTTTTTATATCACCCTGTATATCTGCCAACCCCTTGTGGTACCTCACCCACAAAGGGTCACAGTTTCAAATATCAAAATATCTTTAAATAATCGAACATGGAGGGTATATTAAGTTTATCATTCCGTTTGTAACACCTCGAAATATACATTTTTAGACCTCACAAGGTATATATATTCTTGATCAGCATAAAATTCTATGTCGATTTATCAATGTCCGTGCGTCTATTCGTCTGTGAAAATCACTCTAGCTTCCGAACGAAATGAAGTAAGTTGATAAAAATTTACTCAAATGTGTATTATGTCTGCATAACTTTTGGTATTGAAAATGAGCCATGCAGGCCAACGTCTTCGAATAGCCCCCATATAAATGTACCCCCGATATTCGGTATTTTGATGATTTTAGCGACATTATTCACCGGAATAGTTTCAAATTTAGTATTTGAAGTTCGTAATGGATACTACAGCCTAAGACAGGAAATGGGCCATGCAGATCCATGTCTTCGTATAGCCCCCATAGAACGGTACCCTCCGATATTCGGTAATTTGATGATTTTAGCGACATTAATTACCGGAATTGTTTCAAATTTGGTATTTGAAGTTCGTAACGGATACTACAACATATGATAGGAGATTGTCTGTGCAGGTCCACGTCTTTATATAGCCCCCATATAACGGCAACCTCCGATATTCGGTATTTTGATGATTTAGCGGAATTGTTCCAAATTTGGTATTTGAAGTTCGTAACGGATACTACAGCCTAAGACAGGAAATGGGCCATGCAGATCCACGTCTTCCCATAGCCCCCATATAACTGTACCTCCCTATATTCGGTATTTTAATGATTTTAGCAACATTATTCGCCGGAATTGTTTCAAATTTGATATTTGAAGTTCCAAAGGGATACTACAGCCTAAGACAGAAAATTGTCTGAGCAGGTCTATGTCTTCGTATAGCCCCCATAGAACGGTACCCTCCGATATTCGGTAATTTGATGATTTTTGCGACATTAATTACCGGAATTGTTTCAAATTTGGTATTTGAAGTTCGTAACGGATACTACAGCCTATGGCAGAAAATTGTCTGTGCAGGTCCACGTGTTCGTATAGCCCCCATATATCAGTACCTCCCTATATTCGGTATTTTGATTATTTTAGCGACATAATTCACCGGAATTGTTTCATATTTGGTATTTGAAGTTCGTAATGGATACTACAGCCTATGTCTGTGCAGGTCCACGTCTTCTTATAGCCCCCATATAACGTACCTCCCGATATTCGGTATTTTGATGATTTTTGCGACATTATTTACCGGAATTATTTCAAATTTCGCATTTGAAGTTCGTAATGAGTACTACAGCCTATGAAAAAAAAATTGTTTGTGCAGGTCCACGTCTTCGTATGGCCCCCGTATAACGGTACCTACCGATATTCGGTATTTTGATGATTTTAGCAGCATTATTTACCGGAATTATTTCACTTTTTGTATTTGAAGTTCGTAATAGATACTATATCCTAGGACAGAAAATGAGCCATATAGATCCACGTCTTCGTATAGCCCTCATATAACGGTACTTCCCGATATTTGGTATTTTGATGATTTTAGCGACATTATTCAGCGGAATTGTTCCAAATTTGGTATTTGAAGTTCGTAACGGATACTACAGCATATGATAGGAGATTGTCTGTGCAGGTCCACGTCTTCGTATAGCCCCCATATAACGGTAACCTCCGATATTCGGTATTTTGATGATTTTAGCGACATTATTCAGCGGAATTGTTCCAAATTTGGTATTTGAAGTTCGTAACGGATACTACAGCCTAATACAGGAAATGGGCCATGCAGATCCACGCCTTCGTATAGCCCCCATATATCCGATATTTAATGTTTTGAAGATTTTAGCAACATTATTTACCGGAATTGTTTCAAATTTGTTATTTGATGTTCGTAATGGATACTACAGCCTTTTGTCTTTGCAGGTCCACGTATGGTACCTTCCTAAATTCGGTATTTTATTTATTTTAGCTACATTATAAACAGATTTTTTTTCCAAGTTAAGCATTTGAATATTATAATATATTATGACAAAAGTTGCCTATGCAGGTCCACGTCGTCGTATATACCCTAATATACGGCTACATTCGGTATTTTTAAGATTTTAACAGAATTTTTAATGGATTTTATTTTTTTGAAAATTGCCAAATTTGTACCAAATGGTGGAGGGTATTCAAAGTTCGGCCCGGCCGAACTTACCTCTTTTTTACTGTTTTTTTTTTTTATTTTGCTCGTATCCAATTTTATATTGTCCCTATAAGTCATAAGGTAGAGATAAAAGGGCAAAAGATTGTTTGAATGTTCAAGTCATAAAGCGTGTTTTATTGCTCGAGTCCTCCAATAGACCTTGAATTTGTTTCAGTTAAAATTTGGGTCGTAGAGTATGACAATTTCATTACTTCTAAAATCTTAAATATGTTTGCTTTTGTCATTCACGTAACTGAGAATCAAAAAAAAAAAAACTTCATCTGACTAACAGCTGACTCTCGGACATGTTGCGGATTGGGTTCGAAAACCAGTTTCATTCTTGTGTCCCAGTCACAGCCTCAATTATATGCTACATTGTTGCTGTTGCTGTCAATATTTGACAGTGTGTTGGTTTTTTACTTGACATTCATTTCAATCAAACAAATGTTCGAAACGTCATCTCAATGCTTGATAATGCTCTCAAAAAAATATGATTCCTTTTTGAGTTCTTCAGAAAAGTCATAAAATGATAAATTACAAATGACTAACTGAGTTGGTATGTGTGTTTATTTATTTTGTAAAAAATCGAACTTTCCCACACACACACACACTTACCTGGAAGTAAATTAATTCAGTAGTTATTTTCCACCAATTATCTTTAAATAAGACAAACCGCTGATCGTCGATTTGATTATCTGGATGCCATATAACTGCAACCAGCGGCATTGAGCTTTTAACATCAATTAATTTACAAATCAATAGATGCACATTTACATTTAATTTATATTTACATTTTGCAAAGTCGTTGTTGTTGTTATTGCGAACTTTCAATGTTAATTTCGCTTAATTATACAACAATTAAAATAATGAGCATGCAATCATAAGGCGGTTATATTTTAAGTGAGAAAGAAACTGGACCATGATTTGTTTGGAGATATCTCCATATCCGCCTACGGTCTATTAATTGTTA